CTGCGTGTCAAATAGGGACTCGATGGTGCGACCGGACAGCCTGTCTATAAACAAAGAATGGAAAGCGACGATGAGGCAGCAGAGTGAAGCCTCTCTGCACAGCTGTGTTCGCCCCACAGCTTACGATGGGGGGCGCTGCTGTATGGGCAAACTGTTAGTCGTCTTCATCCCGCCCCTGCCGCCCTCTGCGCGTTCAGTGCAAAGCGAGACCGGAAGGCGCAGCAGGAAGAAAAAAGACCGGGTGAAAGCGGAGGTGAAGGCTCTGAAGCCGACGACGATTTTACCATCGGAAGGGCAGTTTGAAGTGAGCTATGCCCTACAGCTCAATATCTTCGGCAAAGTTACCGGCGCGCTCACGAACACATCATGAACACAGGAGCGGGCCTCTGCACCAGGCCTCTATTTGCGAAGCCGCACCAAACCGGATGACTGATCTAAGTAACGCCTCAGGCCATACCAAACGATAGCAGGCGTGCCAGCTCGCATTGCCGACGGTCCATGGATGGATACACTGCTCTAGATGTGTTCTGCGCATAGCGCACCGGCTGGAAGTCAATACCTGGGCAGTGACTGGTGTGGTAGGAAAAGCAGCGGTCAGAGAGAGGAAGATGATGGTGCATCAACAGGTCCGTCAGAAGGTAGGATTGGTGGGTAATCAGCCAAGGCCAGCTGGGACCGGCACATCTAACGAAGGCAACACTTCGCGTCGAGCACTTCATGATCTCTCATTGCTCAGCGAGATCACGGGTCAAAGTAGCGACCCATAGCGTAGTTATCAGTAGTCCACGCAGCACCTCAGACCTTTAACCTGTCAGCCCAGATCGATACGCCGAGCACATAATGCAGGCTGCTGAACTTTCACTGGCCTGTATCCGGGGTTTCAGGTGCATATCTCCTGTACAAGCTGTTGATCCACGGTCAGATTGCGATCCGTTGTCTTCTGTTGTCAATTGGCATGCATGAGGAAGGAATACAGGAGACTCGAAACAACCACAACCACGACTGTGAAGACCGTCTAGAGCACGTCTGCAAACGTTCCGAAACGATATAATAACCGACCAGGTTCACTGCCTGCTTATTACTAGTGGTCCCAAAATTGCTGACATCAGCAGTGACCTGAAGCGAAACCCGAGCAGACGGAAAGGTGGCATTCTAAGGCAGGCTGCTGACATCAGTCATCTACTGGCAGGCCCGATGGGGAATGGGGCACAGTCAGAAAATGACGAGGAGATGGGGACGATGATCTGGAAGAGCATCGAGAAGTGTCGGATGAAGTGTTGGACGAGTGCACGCAGTCAGTCCGCACGGGCGTGCAGCTTCCAGACTATTGTATGCAAACGGAGTGCAGTGCCAACTTAACAGCCAAAAAGCATGCGACGTATGAGAAAATTGTGTGATATGGCTGTTTGCTCCGTGCTTTGTGTTAATGGCCCCATTTATATATGATGATGTGTTCCGCTTAATATACAGAACTGACTGTTTTAAAGCAAATTTATCTTTTCAGTACCTCAAAATGTCCGGCAGTGCAAGTACGATATCTATCTCTTAAACAAGTAACAACGATAATGTGTCATCATCTTGACTCCCTTTTATGTCAAATTCTAATGTAACTGCAGCCCACATAAATTTTGGATCCAACGCTGCGAGCTGTTAGTTAATTTCGACCACCTGCTATTGTGTCGTCCCACCATTAAGTCGTGAGGTCATTAGGCCTTAGGAGTTCTACCTTGTTTCATTGCCGTTTGGTCCGTTTTGTGCTCCGATGTGGCATTGCTGCTTGAACTTACCGCGTACGCTTGTGTGGTTATGGATGTGACGTTTGACAGCAAAAAGCCACAGCTGTGGATTTATTACTGAACAAATACTGCGTCTTGTATTATGACTATCGCGGTACGTGCGCGCAATGCAGATCCAGGAGCAAATTTTTACTTTTTACTTGTTGCTACACGTGGTGTGGCAATGGCACCAGCTGAGCATGGGTGTCGAGGACTGTTGTTGGCAATGGCTCCAGTTGAGTAGGGATGCTATGGACTGCTGTCGGCAATGGCCGTAGCTGAGCAGGGGTGTCGTGTACTGCTGTTGGCAATGGCTACGGCTGAACAGGAATGTCGTGGACTGCTGTCGGCAATGGCTCACCTCGCAGGACATGCCTGTATAGCCGGGTGGGCAGCGGCACTCCTCGACCAGCGTGGCGGGACCCTGCGTCGTGTCCGCCCGCTGGGCGCTGTCGACCCGGAAGGAGCTGAACGACGCCACGGAGCCGTCAGCAGAGGTAGCGCTGCGGCACCGACGCCGTGCTGTTACCATTGAGCACGGGGTTGTCAGCAGAGGTAGCGCTGCCACACCGACACCGTACTGTTACCATTGAGCACGGGGTCGTCAGCAGAGGTAGCGCTGCCACACCGACACCGTACTGTTACCATTGAGCACGGGGCCGTCAGCAGAAGTAGTGGTGCCACACCGACACCGTACTGTTACCATTGAGCACAGGGTCGTCAGCAGAGGTAGCGCTGCCACATCGACACTGTACTGTTACCATTGAGCCTGGGCCGTCAGCAGAGATAGCGCTGCCGCACCGACATCGTCCTGTTACCATTGAATATAACAGGGCCGTTTAGGAAGACAGCACCAACGCCTACTGGAAACCATGGAGAGGTATATGGCACAGTGGGCAAAGCAGTACCGCTGAACACTGAATGCACGGGCTACCAAGCTTCACAGGTCCGTGCCATCCAATACGCCCAGCGTGCCATCCAATACGCCCAGCGTGCAGTAAGGCCCACACGACATCCGATGCTCGAGCAAAAAGATGGACCGAAAAATTTTAGTGTGAATTGTAAAAGAGCCTTCTTTTGCACCGAGATCAATTTGTCCGAATTTCTTTTTTGTCTTTACAGGGTCATTTTTAAGCAAACTGATTCGTGCCTTTTGTTAATACTGTAACGACACATGACTTAAGTACATATATAGATTAGGTGTCTATATATACAAATAATATGTACATATATATATATATATACATATTATATATGTACAATGTATTGTACATATGTATATATATATATATATATATATATATATATATATATATATAGTCTGACAGTGGTCCTGCGGGTCAGTGTAACGTAAAGTCCTAATCGTCATTACCAGCTTAAAAACCAAGAGTATAATGTTTAGCGCAGTCTGAAAACTGTGATCGAGGAGTACCACTGCATAAATACCAGATCAATATTAATTTTTATAACAGTGGTATACGACAGTTGAAACCATCTCATACAGGGAGAGATGTCCTTCCAATGACGCAAGAGAAACCCAGGGTCAGATGGCTTGGTGCATCGACGGACAATCTAGAAAATAGCGCCCGCTGCATGCCGTTACACATCGCCACATTTATATCAATGGCAAGTCACATTGCTTGCTGCGCTCACGCTTGCAGCAAATAAGCCAGCGATGTTGTATCACAAGACCGACTTCTCCCAATCGGCTGCCATGGTGAGGACAGTTCTGTGCGGGGTGGTCAGAATCTGCGCTAGCCGTAGCTCCATGGAATTTCGGCGTGTCTTGCTAACAAACGTGTGCTTTCGGGAGATCCCTCGTCATGAGGACCCTCAGCGAGAAGTTCGTGCGCCTCCATTTTTCAACGATGTTCTGCATGCATGGTGATGGCGTGTCTCAAAGTAGAGGCTTGATTTACACTTACGTTTTTCACAGTTTCAGCGAGGGCCAATTTGTCAGTAGTTTGAGCGACCAACATTTTGGCACTTTTGTGCCAAGATTTAATATAGCTTATTTTAGTCAAAACAACAGTCAAGATCGCCGATCTTATTAGTGCA